CTTTTTTCGTGACCGGCAACGGATCGCAACCCTCAGTGTTGCGCCCGTACCGGACCGGGACCGGCTACAGGATCGCAACCCTCGGTGTCGCCCCCGCTGTAGCAGTGCGCCACCGGGCCGGCCCAACTTCTAATTTTTTAAAAAGTATACTCCTATAATATATTTTGGAGTTTATACAGGCCCTCAAACACTGGTCACAATGGGCTATATACACTGTCCTCAACTCATTTTCTTGATAATATTGTCAAAATTAAGTACCCTGGTCAAACTCTTAATTGCCAAAGATCTGGCAAGGATCCACATCAACTTTATTAAGCTTTGCTGCCAATTATAAATTAATAGAGCTTCAAAAAGTTACACTAGGAATTAATGAGTTGAAGATGCTCTACTGCCTCTGCTTTAAGCAATTCAAAATTAAGAGATTACCTTCAAATTTAAAAGATTTTAGGCCCCATTTGTCTTGTCTGATCATTATATAAACAGAAAGCAAGCTAGATATATATACCTTAACGTGATATTAAGTTTCATATTTTGACCGAGTAAAAATTATTTTCTGGAGCTGGCTGGTTAGCTCAGTTGGTTAGAGCTCAGCCTTTTACCACCAAGGTCATGGGTTCAGATCACTGTATCTGCCCCCCCGTCCAAAAAGATTATTTTCTTTACTTGAAGGACAATACACACAAATTATAAATCTAAACTAATTTTAAATCCAAAAATTATATTTTCTTTAAAAAATTAGCTGTTAAGGCAATGAAATACACAAAATAAATAAAATTAACTTTAGGACTGAAATCAAGTAATCTCTGCCAAAAATTTTTCATAAATATAAACAGGAGCTAATACTACCTATATGTATAAGAAAAGTACTTAACTACAAAGTACTCTGAACTAAAAATAAGTGAAGAGAAATTAAGAAAAATAAAAACATGATTAATAAAACTAGCAAATTACAGAAATGACAAAATCTAAAAGACTACTGGAAAATGTGAAAAAGTTTTAAAAATACATACTGTCTAAACAAGATGATTGAGTTACATCTTCATGAAGATGGGCTAGGTCTGCAATCATAAAACACTGATGCCTTAACCTAATATCAAATCTTTAAAAATGAAATTAATTTCATTGCACTCAGTCAGAAGAGACAATGAATGGTCCAGGGACTGGAACTACAATTAGAATTTACTAGAAATCAGGCCGGCCCGTAGCTCACTCAGGAGAGTGTGGTGCTGATAACACCAAGGCCCCGGGTTCGGATCCCATATAGGGATGGCCGGTTCGCTCACTGGCTGAGCGTGGTGCTGACAACACCAAGTCAAGGGTTAAGATCCCCTTACCGGTCATCTTTAAAAAAAAAAAAATTTTTTTTAAAGAATTTACTAGAAATCATTTGAAGGGGGGTAGGTGGGCATCCTGGCTAATAAATATGAATGCCTAGATCATGTAACAAATGGGTTATTTCTGGTCATTTCTAAACATACTAACTTCCCTTATTCTGATACGCACAACTAAAACTCAAGGTTTTCATTAGAATTCATGTTCAAAAAGAGTGAATCACCTTATACTACACTAAATAGTGTCTCTTATTAAAGGGCATTCTCCCAAATTTCTTTATTTTGAAAACAATAATGAAGATTCAATAATCTATAATGACCTTTACCAAAACAAGTTTTGGATACTCACAGAGGTCATATGATAAAACTTATTTTTTAAAAGGGAAATGAGGGCTGGCCAGGGATTCACCAAGGTCAAAGGTTCAGATCCCCTTACTGGCCAGCCACCAAAAAAAGGAAAAAAAAAAAAAAGGGAAACGAAGATTTAACAAAACTACCTTAGGCTAAAACTTCACAAGTGTCAGATGTTGTAAATAGGCTTTTAAAAATTATTTTTTACAGGCCGGCCCGGTGGCGCACTGGAGAGTGCGCCGCTTGGAAGTGCGGCGGCGCTCCCGTCGAGGGTTCGGATCCCATGTGGAGACCAGTTCCCGCTCACTGGCTGAGCGCGGTGAAGGCACGACACCGAGGGTTGCGATCCCATTACCGGTCAGTAAAAAAGACAAAAAGGAAAAAATAAATAAATAAATAAATAATAAAAATTATTTTTTACGAAGCAATTTAAGTAAATGGTTATTTTGAGGGAAATCACATACTACAAGGGGTTAAAAAAGAAAAAACTATGCCAATAATAATTCTAGTTAGGATAAAGTCTCTAGTGACATCATAAAAAATATTAAAAAATGTCCTTTCTGCAACAAGTAAGTGAAGACAAGTGCTGTTAAACTGTTAGATGATTCAAAAAGAGGTCCAAGTGATGACAAAGACACTGGCATGAAAGATGTAAATTCTTAATGAATTTCATTAAATGAACATACTATTATACTACTATATTATTAAATATAACAAGAGTAATATATAACCACATTAATTAGGAGACATTTAACAACTCTATTTACATACGTAACAATGCGCATATATATATATATATATATATATATATATTTTTTTTTTTTTTTGTCCTTTTTGAGA